CTACAGATGCCCCGCCGGCCCGCGCGCCGAGCCCCCTTCGCGGGTTACATAACCGGGCTCCCGGCCGGGTGGGCAACACTCAGCCCCTCTCGGGGGTGGGGGGCGAGGGAGAGAGAACCTCCCCCCCCGCCAGACGCCCCTCGCGTGGCCTCGGAAGATGCAGCAGGGGGGGATGGCCCCGCGCAGGGCGCAGCCGGGCGCTGGGGGTGCGGCCCCTCTCATCCCGATTTTCAGCATCTTTGGCACCGGCGCAAAGTTGCTCGGGTCGCAGGGGTGGGGTGCCGGGGGCGCGCGGCGTCTGCACCTGTTCGAGCCGGGCCCTGGGTCAGAGGCGACTCCCAGGCCCCCCCTCCCCCCAATAACGTCCCGGGCTCTCTGGCTTGGGTCCCCGCAGCGCCCGATCGACCGCCAGAGGTACGACGAGAACGAAGACGTGTCGGACGTGGAGGAGATCGTGAGCGCCCGCGGCTTCAGCCTGGAGGAGAAGCTGCGCAGCCAGCTGTACCAGGGCGACTTCGTGCTCGCCNCCCCAGGATGGGCAGAGCCAGGGGTCCGGCCGACAGAGGGACCTGGGGGCGCACGGACGGGCGGACGGGCGGACGGAGGGAGGGAGGCAAGGCCGGTGCGCCGCGGGCTACCCCTCCCCGAGCCGGCCCAGCTCCTTGCGCGCTGCCCGGCTGGAGTCAGACAGCAGCGAGGGGCCCCCCCAAACCTGAAGCCTCCCTAACGCCGTGCGATTTCGGGCCCTGCCAGTTAGGAGCTGGCGCGGGGGGCGCCCAGGGATCCCCGAGTGACGGGCCTCCCTCAGGCCTGGGATCTGGGGAACCCATCACCTGGTGGGCTGCGCCCGCCTGGAGCAGGGCTCCCGTCAGCTCCAAGTCGTTGGTCCGGAGCCCCCCCTTAAGCCCGAGGCCTCTAGTCTTGCAGTCCTGACAGTTTGAAGAGGGGACTTGGGAGTAAAGGAGTCATCCCCGCCCCATCATGCTTAAGGCTGAGTTCCCTGTCCCCTGGCACTTCAAAGATGTGGGGCACCCCTCTGGGATGGGACACGGGGTTCCTTTCTGGGCCTGAGACCTTGGGAGCTCTGTCCCTCCTGAGGGCCTTGTCACTTTAAAGCAGAAGTTGGGGAAGCCTCTAGGATTTTGGGGTGTGGCCCCAGCCTGGTACTGGGAAGGCATCTGGGGATGTTCTCTAGTCATTGGGGTGATGGGATGCTCTGGTTTGGGTCTGCGGCCTCCCCTGGTCCTGTGGACAGGGGGTTGGTATTTTGAAGATGCCCTTGCCCACCTAGGCATCTACCTCCCTTTACTCTCCGGGGTTTGTAAGTTCATCCCCCCAGATATTCGAGTTTCCTTTACATTCCTCCGTTTCCATTTTGTTTGTCACCCATCCCCCTTGGAAAACCCTTCCATCCTCAGCAAGCTGATAGCTGAGAAGCGCTCCCGCCCCCCAGGTTCTGCTTGAGTGGCTTGCCTGTGGGGTTAGCCTCCAGAGGAGACTGTCCAGGCTTTGCATTTTTGAAGTGTCTCTTTTGTGCCCACTGTTTCCTGGGGCGCCAGGCTTCCGTGGTAGGGGGCAGTTGTGGGGGGAGGGCAAAGAAAAGATTTCATCCAGCCTGCCTGGTCTTTAAGAGCATCCTTTGCCCAGTCCTGGGGCCGCTCTTGGCTTCATTTAAATTTCCTTAGCACAAATGGGATTTTAATTCCTCTCCTTTCTTTGCTGCCCTTGGACTGAGGAGTTAGCGGATCCTACCCGGAAACAATATGCAAACTCTTACCTAGTGGCTCGGGAGGCATTCTCTGCCCAGGATCTCAGCTTTCTCATGCTCATTTGAGGAAGCTGAAGCCGGCTCTGGGGGTGGGCTTTGGGGGGG